GGTAAAACTGATCAATCCCCATATTAGATTTCCATCCACCCTATTTGTGTGGTCATAACGTCATTTAGTGGTAGTTAAAAAGTTATAACTAGAGATACCATATCAAGTAATTTACTTTATGACACCATTCAAGAGTGTTTATTTTTATCCAAATAAAAGTTTTTATAATTCCATGTCTTTAAGAAATAACTTTAATAGCAGTGCCATCCTGAAATTGCTATCTATTGCTTTTCCTTTGAGAATTGGTCACCATGTCCTATTGTGTGTTTCTTTAATGGTCTGCCATTTTAATATTATGTTGTAAGACTCTGGATTCTACTAAAATACTCTAAGGAATTTTTCCTTTAATTTTTTTGTTTAGTAGACAGTGTATCTTGTTAGTTTCAGGTCCTTAAATTGGCCTCTGGATAATGTGTCCAATCAATGTTACTTAGTTTTCAGAATGTTTGTTACATGCCAATTTCTTGTATATGTATCACTTAGTGGTTGAGATTTGAAAGTGGTTGATAATAGTCAAAACCTTTGTTATGTTTTTTTTAGTTGTATTCTGTACATAAGCATTTTGGCATCAAGATTGGAACTTGTGTCGGTTGATACCCAAAATTTGAGGATAATTTTCTTTCATTATATCCTTACTATGGTTTCCTCTACATTCTCTAATTATTGGGAGACTTATTCTGAAAACTGATTACTTTGTCAAGAAGTAAAGGTTTATCTGCTATTCTGCAGCTTTGTTCTATTGGGATTGTCCTTGAGGCAAAATAAAAAGATTTTTGGGGAAAACATAATTATGACTACTCCCACACTTTTTGTATCATAGGAATTTCTTTCTCTGGTTCTCGTGGCTGTAGAGGGATGTAATGTAGGCTTGTGATGCAGGCTTGCCTTTGAATAGGACAGCGGGTGAGAATGAAAGAGGGAAAAGTGGAAAATAACTCCCAAATTAGGTGTTCTTCCCATAGTCACTGACTCATTAATTGCTTCTTTTTTAGCACGGCTTAGGCAATTTTTAAAAAATCAAAGTAAGAAAATAAAGGAGAAAAGTAAATCTGGAGAATTTATGAGAGTACTTTTCCCCACAAATTTTGATGTATTTCCTGAATCCACTTGCTATTGGTTAGTTTTCAGGTATTATATTTCAAAAGTCTTAATTTATAATTAGAAGAGGGGCAAGGTTACTAATTTTATATAATCTCAGCAGTTACAATAAGCTCTATTTAATTTGCTATTTGTTTAAAAACATTTCTGTTGAAAAAAACAAAAAAATTTTCTGTTGACTCTTACAAATAAACTGTAGTAAATTTTCTTTTTTCCCCCAGACCATCTTGCCTTGTGCTTAATTTTCAAGCACTTTAGATTATGACTTGGCAGACTTTTTCTGTATTGGGCTATATAGGAAATGTTTAATTTCATCAGTAGTATGCAAACTAAAGGTTGTGGCTTTGTTCCTGTAAAACTTCATTTGTAAAAACATAATTTGGCAATTGTCTAATAGAAATCCTCTGTATTATGTCTATTCATATAGAATAGGTAGGATAAACAATCCCGAGGAGAAAACAATGGGGCCCACGGCTCTGGGGGAACATGGGAGAGGAGGAGGTGGGAGAAAGGGAGGGGGAAGCCAATAAACTCAGGGAGAAGGGAAAAATTAAGAGACCTAAAATTGATGGCGAGGAGTGCGAGCATAGAATACCTGATGGGTTTGGTTAAGTGCAATGTAGCCGAGAGAAAGCACCGAGAGTCAAATGAAGATCGGACATGATAGTGGGACAAGAGGAAAGTAAAAATAAATAGAAGAAAGAACTCGGTGGCAAGCAACATCTATAGAGAGAGGTATAAATAAAGATATGAATATATGTAAATACATTAATATATAAGAATAGGAATATAGGTCTATGTACATATATTTAAATGTTAAATATTAGGGTAGTAAATGAGCAATTGGATCGCTACTGAAGTGCTCACTCAATGCAAGAACACTACATTCTAATAACCTGGCATTCTGTGATGTTCACCTTCCCTAAATGATTGCTGAAGTCAATATGGGGGCATAAGCTAATGTGGTAAAGAAAGCTGATGGTGCCTGGCTATTAAAAGATACAGTTTCTGGGGTCTTAAAGACTTGAAGTTAAGCAAGGGTCCATTTAGCAGGGAAGCAACAAAGCCCACATGCAAGAAGCACAAGCCTGTGTGGTCTTGAGGTGTTAACGGCATAAGGTATCAGGCATCAGAAGACCCAACACAAATATATTGATGCAAATGATGGAGGTGGGAGTGGAGACCCAAAGCCCATCTGTAGATAATTGTACATTCCCTCACAGAAGGGTCACAAGGAAAGAACGAGACAGACAGGGTGCAGCACAGCACTGACAGAACACATAACATTCCTCTAGTTCTTTAACGCTCCCCAACTCCCCCCATCATGACCCCAGTTCTACTTTACAAATCCTGCTAGACTGGAGCATGTACACTAACTGGTACAGCTGAGAGCTCTCAACAATGGAATCCAGGACAGATAAACACCTCAAGAACAGCAGTGGGAATAGCTATACCATGAGGGTTGGGGGAAGGTGTGGGGAGAGGGGGAGAAATGGGGAACTGTACTACAATGATCGACGTATAATCTCCCCCTCCCTAGGGGCACGAACCACAGTAACATGGGCTAAAGGAGACTGCAGGCAGTGTACGATATGAAAATAATAATAATTTATAATTTATCACTGGTTCACGATGGGGGATGGTAGGAGGGTAGAGGTGATACCAAGGGATCAAGTAGAAAGAAAATGTTTTGAAAATGATGGCAATATATGTACAAATGTGCTTGATACAGTTGGTGTATGGATTGTTATAAGAGCTCTTAATAACATGATTTATTAAAAAAAAAGGATCCCTTCCAACTTCCAGGGATGAAGAAATGGCCACCATGTCAGAAATTAGCAAGATTAGGAGTTAAGAGGGTATTCGTGGAGCATGCTATGGAAGTTCCTGAGGAGTGGAGGCAGGAGAGGTCAAGGAGGAAAGACATTCCCTTTTCAATGGCGAATTCTAATTCTGATTCTGCCAAGAGTGTTGAGGTATAAGAATGTGACAATCCCCTTCAAGTTTATATGTATTAGATTTCATCAAAAAGTAAAATTGTATCATACATTTATTAAATACACTTTCCCTGTGAAACAGAAAATTTAGTTTGCTGAATACTTCATTTGAATTTGTTTCATGGATAAGTATTTGTGGAGAACATTAATTAAAATAGAAGCAATTTTTTAAAGGTTTGGGTACGGGAAGGTAGTCTGTTCACTGCCATCGAGTCAATGCCTACGTATAGTGACCCTACAAGACAGGGTAAAACTGCCTCTGGGTTTCCAAGAATGTAACTCTATGGGAGAAGCAAGCCCTTTCCTTCTCCCACCAAATAGCTGGTGGTTTTGCACTGCTGACCTTGCAAATTGCAGCCCAGTGCTTAACACTATACCACCAGGGCTCCTTCAAGGTCGCCAAGTCTAGTCTAGAGAAATAATAAGTTGATAAAGTGTTAGCTTTTCTAACTCTTAAGTTTAGACCTACTATTTTAAGTATATCTGTTTCTTGGATAAACAACTTTGATGATATTTTCCCACATTAATTTTTTCTGATACAGAGTTCAGGTTCATTCTTACTTTATTGCCTCAGATAATGTATTCTACATTTTGGAACCTAGTAACTTTTCATGTTGACATTCTTGTGATTTCACATGCTGTATTCTTCAAGCAGTAAAATCCTGATGTGCTATCTTTTATGAAAAAGGAGGTTACGATGTTCTTAAAGACAAACAGCCCTGAAAGGGTATAGGCACTCGTCTTGGCCTTATATGATTTGGTGACTGAGAGAGAAGAGGACAGGCGAGCTGTGGCAGTTACTTAATCTGTCAACTTGAGCGAATGGGTGGAGTCTAGCCTGTCAATCAGGTCATAGCCAATGAGGCCTCTGGGCATAGTCTTCTGAGGATTTTGGGAACTCCTTCCTGTCTTCCTCCCTGGAGGCGGGACATACACTCTCCCTGTGAGACAGACTGTCCAGTTGACAAGCCACATGGAGGTAAGCTGATGGCAACCACAGCCTTGGAACTGGAGGAGACATGTAGAGACCTACATCAGCACGGAGATGCTTGCACCACCACTGGATCCATAAGACTTTCCACTCACTAGCCTGTGATCTTCCAGCATTTGGCATCATTGCATGTGCTCTGTGAGTCTGAATAGGAATTTTTTTTTCTAACCCTAACCCTAATGAAGAGGAATTTATAGACTGGTATCGGGTATATGGGCTGATAGCAGACTTATGGACTTGATGTGGACTGGGCTGGGATATTTTCTTAATATACAATTACTCTTTGATATAAAGCTCTGCCTTACCTAAAAAATAAGAAATCCTCTGTATTATTTTCTAATGTAGTGGTTAAACACTAACCATGTTTTCCTACTGAGATCTGTATATTAAAATAATATACAGTTTATTTTCATAACTACTTTTTCTCTTGCTTAGGGTCTATTCTTATGTATAGTATCTCATAAAACTGAACTGAACTGAATGAAAGAAGAATAATTTATAACAGTGCGATTATATTTAAACTTTCTTTTGGTTTTGATATACGCCCTCAATAGATTTTCACTGTTTGGTTTTTAAATTTTAAAAAATGGTCTCATGAATATTTGGTAAGAGACTGTCTTAATAGAAATAACAAGTCATGCATTTCATATAATTTAGTGTATTCTTTGCCCATAAGAGCAAAGATCTAAACAATGCGAAATGAGATGTAAGGCTCTGCAAATAAAAGGTTCTCAAGGACAACAGGGAAGTTATATTAATTGTGACTCTCTTCTAAATACCTTTCTTTTGCCACTTTGTGTTTAATAAGTATGGATCTTGTTAGATTCTGAAGGGGAATGTGTGTAGTTATTATGATTGTTCTAATACTCCTAAACTTCCAACTATTTAATAATATTTTCCAGGTCAATAGTATTCAAATGGTGGTTGAGCCAATGGAACAAGGAGAAGCAGATTCTTGCTGCGTAAGTATACTTTAAAAAATATTTTATTAGGAATATAACAGCAGAACATGCACTAATTCTTTTTTTTAACGAATTCATTTTCACATGTACAATTCAGTGACATTGCTTACATTCTTTTAATTGTACAATTATTTTTACCCTTTTCAAGGTGTTCCTCCTCATTAACATAGATTCACCACCTCCTGTTTTTCCTATTTTGTCTTTCTGTTTGCTATTATCAATTGAATCTCATATAGATCTTTAAAGAGCTCAATGCTCAAGGCAGACATTCTTTATTAGTTAAACTAATGTATTCTTCAGTTTTAGAGTTCAAAGGGTAATTTTGGTTTAACCTTTAAAGACTATCTCAATGTAGTATGGTCTGAGATTCATTCAGCCTCCATGACTCCAGAAATTTAGGGTGCATGAGAATTTTAAGTTCTGGTTTGTATTTCACACTTTTGACCAGAACTCTGTGGGATTTTTATTCCTGTGGAATTATTTTATCAAAATGTTCAGTAATAATGTGAAGGCACCATCCATTACTCCTGACATCATGGCAAAAGAGACAGTTGTTCATGGAGGAGGCAGTTAGCCACACATTCCATTTTATCTTCATATTCTTGACTCTCCTTCCTCTGTTGCACCAGAGACCAATTGTTGTACCTTGGATGGTCGCTTGAAAGTTTCTAGGATCTTAGGCACTATGCAAAGAACTAGGAAGTAGAACAAACACTAAATATATTTTTAGGCCAATTAACTGGAATGTTCTGTTAACCTTCAAACCAAGGAACCAGATCCCATGAAGTGTTTAGTTGTACATAATCAGCCTTAACAGCTACTCTTTCTTTTTGTTGTTATAATATATATCTCACAACTTTTGCCATTTCAAATTTTTCCACATGCGCAACTTATTGACAGCAATTACATAAATCAGCTTTGTAACCCTACCCGTAATCAGTTTTCCACCACTGTACACACTGGTACTCAGTAGTCCATACGCAGTAAGCTCCCACTTTCTGTCTCCTTCTCTGCTACTCTCTAGTAACCACACATGAATGTTTGATCTCTACGCATTTACCTGTTCTTGTCTTTAATGTAAGTGAGGTCATACACCATTTCTCCTTCTGTGATAGACTTATTTCCCTAGCATAGTGCCTTCAAGCTCTTTCTTTATTGTAGT